GGCAGCAGCTGCAGGCAGCCGCCGCCGAGGCGGCCGCGGCGTTCGCCGCGCGGCGCGCCGCGGAGGCCGAGGTGGCGGCGCTCAGGGCTGACTTGGCGGAGGCGTCGGCGCGGGCCGAGAGCGCGGCGGCAGGTGCGGCGGCGGCCGCGGCGGGCGGCGGCGGGGGCGCGGCGGCGGAGAGGCAGCTTGGGGAGCTGCGGGAGCTGCTGTATCAGAAGCAGGCGCAGCTGGAGCGGCTGGCGGCGGACAAGGGGGCGCAGCAGCTGCTGCTGGAGCGGCAGGTGTGGACCTGACATGTGGCGACTAGGATGTGCGTGTGTGACACGCACACCTTTGCATGTGTGTATATGTGTATGTGCGTGTGTGTGTCTGTGTGTGCACGTGCGTGTGCATGTGGTATTGGCCAAATCAGGCATACTCAGCACTATTGCTGCTGACCCGCCAAACCCTCATGCGTGTCTGGGTGCAATGCACCGCGTAAGCCTGCACTGAGCGTTGGTCGAACACGAGCAATTGACACAGATGCACCTTTACTTCAAAGGCAACCCCCAAAATTTGCAAGCCTCTCAAGATGCATCTCAAATCTATCAGCACCCCCCCCCCTCCTCGCCTGCCCCTCCACTGCGTCCCCGCAGCTCGCCACCCTCCAGCAGCAGCTCGCGCGCGCGCAGCAGGCGCAGCCCGCCTACGGCATCGGCGGCGGCGGCGGCGGCGGCGCCGGCGGCTCGGGCGGCGGCGGCGGCGCCGCCTCTGCGCGGGCGCGGGACTCGGTCATCCCCATGGACGCACTGGGGGAGCCGTACCAGCGGCTCGCACGCCACGACCGGCTGGGCGGGACGGTGCAGGCGGCGGCGCGGCTGCTGGACTCGACGGCGGCGTCGGCCAGCCACCTGATCCGCCACCACCCCCTGGCGCGGCTCGGCGTGTTTGCGTACCTTCTGCTCATCCACTTGCTGGTGTACGTGCTGATCTACCGGCTGCAGCACCACGCCATGGCGGTGCACATCGCCGCCGCCGCCGGCCTGCCGGGCGCGGGGCTGCCGGGTGGCGGCGGCGGCGGCGGCGGGGCCGCGGGCGCGGGTGGCGCGGCGGCGGCGGCGGGTCAGGGAGCCGGGGCAGCTGCAGGCGGCCATCCAGGGCTGTCTTTGCCGTGAAGTGACTGAAGGCTGGGACTGTCATTCACTGCTGCTTGCACAAAATCTATTAGTACTATTGTAGCCGCACAGCCCTGGCGCACAACTCCAACGCATGTGAACCAAGCACGCCCTTCGTTTCCTGCGTTGCCCTCACATTACTTCCTTTGACTGGCACGGCTTGCCTTCAGAGCAGGAACATGGTGGCCGACACCGCCCGCCCTGCATTAGCACCCTTACCCTGCATGCCAGCCTTCTGTAGTTTGCTCATCTGGGCGCCTTGCATCATCGTGTTCAAGTAGAGCGCCTGGCACGGCATTTGCTGGGTCGTTATGCTTTCTGACGCTCCGTACTCAAGCAACATTATGCTAACCAACATGAAACAGAACGCACATGTTGGAATGCAATCCTCTTATCGCCCACTCAGCCAGAGCATTACACGCAGGCTCCAAGTGCAAAGCCACAGCCGCGGCAGCGCCCGAGCTGGTTACTACCCCGGCAGTACGTCCCGCCTGCCCGTCACCCGCCCCCGCCTGCCACTGCGGCAGCTGGCAGCACCTTGTACGGGTTGAGGATTCCGTTAGGGTCCATCATCCGTTTTATCCGCCCCATCAGCGCGACCGCGGCGGGCGGCTTGCTGTACCCGATGCGCTCGGCCTTCATCAGCCCCAGCCCGTGCTCCGCGCTTACGCTGCCGCCGCGCGCGGAGGTCCACTCGTACACAAACGGCTCGATCCTGTCCAATATTTCCGAGGCTGCCCGACCGTCGCAGCCGGGCGGCGCTGAGATGTTGAGGTGCAGGTTGCTGTCGCCAACGTGGCCGTAGCCGACGACCGTGACGCCCGGCAGGTCGTGGGTGCGGGCGCGCGTCTCCTCCACCAGGGCGTACATGTGGGGCAGCGGGATGCTGAGGTCATACTTGAAGACTGGGCCTGGGCAGGGGGAGGGGGCGGCGCGGAAGGGGGGCTGGCGCCTGAGCATCAGGGGTGAAGGCGCGGTGGATGGGTGTGTGTGTGCAAGGGGATGTCTGTGTGCTGTGTGTGTGCTGTGTGTATGCGCACATGTATGTGTAGGTGTGTGCGTGTGTGGGGGTGAGTGTGTGCATGCTAAAAGGTGGCGGTGTGGCCGATCGGCCTGTGCTGGCAGCCAGGCAAGGCTGCATCGCCGCTGCCGCCCAAGCGGCACGCCTGCCTTGTGGCCACGCTGACAACAGCCTTCAAACAGGCCAGAGGACGCGATCGCGCGTTGGCTTTGCCCCTCCCCGTCGCCCCTTGAACCCCGACAGCCGCGCGCCCTGCACCCCACCACGCTCCTGCCCCCCGCACCTCGCCGCGTCAGCGCCTCCGTCACGCCCTCCCTCACGCGCCAGATCGCCGCCGCCTGCGTGTCGCTGCCCGCCAGCGTCCCGTCCCCCACCAGGCCCTCCCCCATCGCCGCCTCAAGGAACCCCTCCAGCTTCTGCGCGTCGTGGCCCGCGTCGCTGCCATGCGTCTCCACCAGCATGTAAAACGGCGCCCCTCCCTTCCCGCCTGCCGAGCCCCCTTCGCCGCCGCCCGCATCGCCGCCGCCACCACCGCTGCTGCTGCTGCTGCTGCCGCCGCTGCCACTGCCGCCCTGCTGCAGCGGGTTCGACACGCCTGGCAGGTGCTCCGTCGCCATGGCCATCGACGCGGAGTCCAGGAACTCGCAGGCCGACAGCACCTCCCCCAGCCGCCGCTTCGCGAGCAGCAGCACGGCGCGCACAGCGTCAAAGGAGGGGCAGGACAGGAAGGCGAGCTGCACAGACGCGGGGCGGGGGGCGCACTGCACCGAGACGGCCGTGACGACGCCTGGGAGGCGCCCCGGGCGAAGCAGGGGGTTGGATCAAAGCATCACGGGGAATCCAAAGGAGGTGTCGGTGCCGCGCAAAAACCAAAGTCCCGGTGGTGCTGTCGCAGCTCGCAGGACCATACGGTTCGCCACAGCCCTGCTTTCCTTGCATTCACGTGCATACGCACGTGTGCTTGCATGCGTGCGTGTGCTTGTGCACACGCGTGCGCACACACGCACGCACACATACACACACACATGCCCCTGCCGCTCCAGCAGCAGGCCCCGCCCACCCAGGCTGCCCTCTGCGCCGATGAAGAGCTGCTTGAGGTCGTAGCCCGTGTTGTCCTTGCGCAGCACGCCCAGCAGGTCCAGCACGCACCCGTCCGCGAGCACGGCCTCGACACCCAGCACGCTGCCGTGCAGGGACCCGTAGCGCAGCAGCCGCAGGCCGCCTGGGCGCGTCGAGGGGAAGGGGTGGGATTACTGCTGGCTCGCGCCGCCGCTGCTTTTCACAAGTCTGAAACGAATCCCAGTGTCTGCTCCCGCATGCCAGTAATACGTCAAGACAGCACGGCACAGCCAAATGCGTGCGTCGGCAAGGCGAGCACCCTAAAGCACACGCGCCAGCTGTATCCCTGCCCAAGTGCCCATGCGTGGCCCCTGCCCACCCGCGTTCGTCGAGACATTGCCGCCGATTTGGCAGCTGCCCTTCGCCCCGAGGTCGAGCGGCATCAGGAAGCCCCTTTCGCCGGCATGCTCATCCAGGGTCTGCAGGACGCAGCCCGCCTGCGCCACAAGCACGCCCGACACCTAAGGATGGGAGAGAGGATGGTTGGCCGCGAGGCGCGGCCCGTTGGGGCATGGGCCAACGACATGGCAGGGGGTGCAGGAACATGCAGGTGCGGTCATCCTATTTGCAGGTTGGCTTGGCATGCAAGGCGCCTATGGAGACTGACCTTCAAGCTTTGTAGCGCTTGCGCACCCGCATCCAGCAGCCACTCGTACCTGCCATTCGCCCCACCCCCATTGTCCCTCAAAGTACAGGGGCTACCAGTCACGCGTCCCGTCATCAACCCTGCAGCCCCCCCCCCCACCTCGTCGAATGAGATGATGTTGTTCATCGCCCCGAGGCTCAGCACAACCTCGTCAAACACCGGCACACTGCCGCCCACCAGCCCCGTGTTGCCGCCCTGCGGGACCACCGCCAGGCGGCGCGCGTTGCAGTGCGCCAGGACACGGGACACTTGCTGCGTCGTCGACGGGCGCAGCGCAAGCTGCGTGCGGCCGTGGTACTTGTGGAGCCAGTCGCTGGGCGCAAGTTGGGCGTGGGAGGTGTTTCAAGGCGTTTGTCGAGGGTAAAGACGTTTGTGTCCTGGTAGGTGTTGGGTCACAACTCTCATTTTGCTGGGGTGTGATTTGTCGACTTGGGCCTCCTGACACCCAGCGCCGGCAACCAATGTTTGGGCATCGCCGTGCCGGCAGCTTCACATACATACACACCTGTTGTAAGGCTGTAGCGCGTCTGGATCTGTTATGACACCCTTTTCTCCCAGGACCTCTTTGAAGAAGGTCAGGTCGTCATGCGTCAGCTGCGCAAATTGCGAGCCCCGCTGCAGCGCTGCGCTGCTGGCCGTCCGCACCGCCGAGGCGAGCTGGCCCACGGAGCCCGGCTGAAGTTTATTAAACCCATGTACAAAGGCTTTGAGCATGCTGTCATTCACCCTGCGTGCGGCGTGCAGGGCTTTCGTACAAGGATCACTTGATCCGCTCTTTACCAGGCGCTGCAGCTGGCAAATATATTATAAAAACCGTGAATGTTTGATATACCAGCCCGGGCTCGCTGGAAGTGCCAAGTTGTACCACCAGCGGTGCCACTCCTGCAGCGTCGTTTGTACTGTAGGACCAGTGTCGTGCAAGCAGAAGGATGTCATATGGTTGATGGGCACATAAGTCAGCTGCTCTGCTATCACAGCTTTTGCCACCATAAGTGCCAAATCTAGGGTCTAGTGTCCAACTGATGACATCACCAGAACAGCTTAGTGCTGCGTCACCTTGACACCCCCGCCGATGCACATGTTTCTAGAGCCGGCACCCTCGCGTTTGTAGCGAGCCCATCGCGTGTCCCTCTGTCATAAAGACCCTCGACAAGCTCTATAACACGCCATGAACGGCAGGAGGAGGGCCCAGAAGATGCACAAGCAACCGTCCAGTGCCAGGGGCGATGGGTTGATGCGCACATCTTCAGGCTCTGCGCAGCCACAAACGATGGCGCGGGGCAGCGTGCAGCGCCGGCATCCACCCCAGCAGGCTGACGCCATGCAAACAGCACACAAGGGCGGGCAGCCCAGCAAAATTCGGCCTCCACTGCAAGGTCAACCAGGAAATCGACTTCAAACAACATCACAAAACCGAGCCCACACTCATTTGCAGGCAAGAGACATCAACACCCCCGAAGCACGCGGGAACGTCCCAGCTGGGCGCACCCCGCCGTCCTCTCACGCGCGCCTCAGCGCCGCCGCGCGCCGCCGGTCCCTGTAGCGCCATGCCCCGCCCGTCTCGTGTGTGTTCTTGGGGAACAGCGCCTGCACGTCCTGCCAGGGCATCATCTTGACGCGCGGGGTCTTGTCGCCGGACCCGTAGCCAATCATGACCTGATTGGTCTCCGGGATGAGGTCCAGGCTCATGGGGAACGACACGCTGGTCCAGGCCAGGTTGCGGGGGTGCTGCGCGTTGATGATGGGCATGGCGCGGGACACGGAGAAGATGCGGAACGGGGGGTGCGCCTGGGGGTGTGGTTTGGGGGGCGATGCGTGGGGGGGAGGTCGGATGGGGTTGCGTGAGCCAGATTGAAGGTGTTTTGAAGACAGTTCACAATGTGCGCGTTGTCTAACTGATGAACCCCACCGAGTGCAACCTTACACTGCATCAGCCGCCCTGGCCGCGGCCACCAACCCCATCGCCCCGCGCAGGCAACCAGCAGCCCACGCGCCAGCCACCCACAGTAGCCACCCGCTCGCCGACCACCCCGGCCCAGCCGACCTGCATCTTGTAGAAGAAGTTCTGGTAGCTGCGGTTGATCTCGGCGTGCACTATGCTGAGGTAGAAGTCCCTTGGCTCCCCGCTGAACCCCGCCGGCACCAGCACCGCCTGCGTGTTGCCCCGCGGCTTGGTGGTCAGGTTGCGGAACACGCGGCTGCTCGTCTCAAACACCCGGGTGCATGTGCCGTTGGCGTGGGGCTCGATGACCACGTGGGGGTCGAACTGCTGGCTGAAGTAGAGCTTGCCCTTGAAGATGAAGGGGTTCCAGTTCTTCTCCTTGAGCAGGAAGTTGGGGTCGCTGGGCCGCGGCTGCCCGTCGAGGTACCGCAGGCGTATGACGCCGCGCTGCCAGGGGTCACCCGCGTCCGCCTTGTCAGCGTGCGGCTGGAGCAGGACGAGGTACTGCTGGAAGGCCCAGGGGCCCTCGCACTTTGTGTCGTCGGGCGTGGTGCCCTCTGGGTTGACCGCGGACGGCTTGGAGCCGAACATCATGTACAGGCCCTTGCCGGGCCACACAATCAGGCGGGGGTCTTCGGGACCTGTGGAGGGGGCCGCCAGGGAGGGAAGATGGGGGTGGGCGTAGGCACCATATGTGTGAGGGGCCCGAGCATAAAATCCGGAGCTCTAGAGCCACGACAGCCGATTGCGGCCTTGGCTGCTGCGTGGCTGGCTGGGTTACCAATGGTTGAGATCCTCGCCTTCCAACAAAGCGTGCAGTTTGGGCTAATAGAGCCCCTGCATCTGCTGCCAGGGCTCCTCCCCCCACCCTACACACACCTGTTCCCTCAAAGCCCTTGTTCCACAGGCATTCCTGCCAGTTCCGCGGGTCGAAGTTCTGGCACGCCTGCGGCTGCAGCGTGGCCTCATCTACGCTGCACACCGCCAGCTTGGTCGCCCACCAGCTGATCTCCCCCTCATTGGGCTTGGTGCTGAGCGGGTAGTTGTCGATGTCGGTTCGCAGGGTCTTGTAAAAGTGCATCTTGCGCACGGCGGCGATGAACTTGGTGCCGAAGCGCACGATGGCCACGTTGCCGTGGTAGTAGCCAATGTGGTAGCGCACCTGTGCAAGGGGCCGTCGAGAAGCGGATAAGAGGTGTGAGGCGTTGCACCACGCACAGGAGTCCATCAGATTTACCCTTGCATGCGAGCTGTTGCCAGACAGCCTTTGGAAACCACAGCACCTTGCTCAATCCTCTGTACTTGCTTCAGATCCCTGATGCGCCAATGCTCAGACGCGTGCATACACACTCACACACACACACACACACACACCACACAAACACGTGCACGCGAGCCGCTCTTGCATACACATACATGTGAGCACATACAAGCACACCTAAACACACATGTGTTACACGCTCATGTCCCCCTCACTTTCATTTCCTTGCCGCGGTAGCTAATGCTGCCCAGGCCCTTGAATTTGAAGTCCGGGTCTGCCTTGCTGAAGTCCATGACAATGTCAGCAGTCCGGTTGCGTGCCCATATTGGCAGCTGAGTCAGCACCTTGTCAGACAGCACCGCGACATCAGCTAGCACGGGTGGCGCAGCCGCGAGCACCGCAGCTGCTATGACGAGCGCGAGGAGCCAGAGCTGCGCCCAGCTGATGTGCCGTGTGCTGCCGGGGTGGCGCGCTGCTGCACAGCTGCCACCTGTACGCCCGTTGCCACCTGCGCCTCCCTTCCTGCGCTCCTTTTCCTGCGCCATCCCTCCTGCAGTGTGATTGGCGGCTGCTGGGCCGCAGCTGCGTGCGGCGCTGCTGCTGCTTGTAGATGTTATCAGAGGTCCGCATTCACGCTCAGGCCGCCGGATCTCCTGCCTTGTGCAGGCCGCTCCACTGCCGCTGCTGCTGGTCGTACACATGGCATCATTCACACCGGCGCCGCTGCATCTGGTTCCACTCTTCGCGGCGCACGAGCACTGGCGCGCCGCGCCCATGCCGGTGGCGGCTTGGCCGCCCAGCTGGCTTTGGTTCTGGGCTGGCAGCACAGTTGGTGACTCGCAGGACACCCTACATGCGGCGTATGGATGATGAGACGGTGAGCAAACAACAGTCTGCATAAACATCAAATCCGCGCACCAGTCGCGCGGCTGGTCATGCCCTAAACTGCCTCCATACATGTTGGCACCCATGTGCAGCGCTGCAGGTGCACTGCAGCAGGGCGCGCCGCGCGCGACAGCGGCTACGAGGACTGCGGCGCCCGCAGCACCGTCCCATGGTGCTGCGATCCTGCCCACATGCAGCTTACACCTTTTACACACGCCATATCCTCGCTGTACACGCGATGCAGTCGAAGCTGCTACCTGGCGCGCACCTGGCGGTGGGCCCACGGGTGACTTACAGCCGGGACCGATCGAATGGCAGCCAATCCAATACGCAGGCACCACCCTGTCCAGCAGCTGTGCGCAACGAGATGATGGAGACGGTTGGCCGCGAACTTTGAAGCAAGCACGGTGGTATAGTATTACAAGTGGGTTTCAGATGATGGCGGGATGCATTTGGTACAGTATTGCAGCTCAGCTCGTGCTCGGCGCACTCAACCTAAGCGGGGGCACTTTGTGATGTGCTGTGCAGACCGCCGCCTCCGCTCCTGCTGGGACAATCGTGTGCGCAAAGCAGGCAGAGGTGCGGGTCAAACAAACAACTGCTCATTGCCACAGCCATGCGGCTCACCTACTACCACATGCAACACATGTTTCGAAGTCAGATTTATCGTGTGTTCGCGGCCGCACATGGCATGCATGCACACTTGTAGCTTCAGCCTCCTTGAGCTGCGCGCAGCACATGAAGGTAGCCAGCCCCCCCCCCCCCCCAAAATGCAAATTGGATACATATCCTCCCGTAAGATGCTCTGAGTGTGGAGGCACCTGCTCCAATCATCCAACTGACGGCGCACCATCCCCTCTCTGCTGCGGTATCGATCCTGATTGCTGGCTCCCTGTGCAGAACATACAAGCTCCGAATGATGCAAGAGGAGGGGTTGAGTCACATATCAGCCTCTTGCATGGGCATCCTGCAGCTCTTGCGTCAGGTCAACACAGCAAAACATCGCCGTCTGCTGCGGCCATGCACATCTGCAAACTTTGAGCCGCTGGGTCGCAACAGCAGCGCAACAAGGGGTGGCGCGTCGCAACGGTCCAGCAGCGCCGCACAACTGTGCTACATGCGTCTGGCCAGCCATTAAACGCACTCTAGGTCGTTGTGCAACTCCCAGGAGATGGCAACGCATGCCGCCTCTTTGTGCGCATGTTGGTGTTGATGGCGGAGCTGCAGCAAGTGCATGGTGCTGCTGCCTCCGCCGCCGAAGCCTGGCGAGTGCCAAGAGCGATAAATGCGGTATGGGTCCGTCCCAGAATGCTCCAGGGCATACCATGCTGGGTTGCTGCAAGGGTGAAATTCTTACCGAACCACGAATCTGTGTCGCCCTGACGCCGGATGTGACGCCTGATTTCTGGCAGTAGTATGCAAGCCTAAGCTGTGTACCTCCCCCGCCCACCGCAAAAGTCTTATGAAATGGTAGTGAGCTCTGGCACAAAGAGGAAGGCGTGGGCAGCTCACAAGTGGGCGGAGGGGGGTGTCACTGAGTCACCAGCCGGGTCAAAGCACTTGCAACCCACGTCCATGACACAAAGCTCGTGGTTATGCGAGGTGTGATGATGAACGATTGCCATGAAGTCCTTGTAAACAGGTTGCGCTTGTATGCTGTGACAACGTACTATAGATCAGCGACCCGATGCTCGATCTGCCGTGAGGCAACATGCAGCTCAACAATGTATCCCTGTTGTCAGATGCTGTAGCTCGGGTGCAGGCCGTGCGCAATGGCACAGATGATGTTTTCGATGCATGTGCTGCCGGGGACGTCGTCGGCAAGGGGGCCCGGATCGCCGCGCGCTTGCGCGCAGTTGGTTCGGACATTGATGCTTTGGAGGCAGCTTGGCCACAGCTGGAAGCGTTAATGCAAGCTGCAGGCGATGCCGCAGATAGGGATGAGCCACCGGCCGCGCAACCAGCAGCTCCTTCGCCCGCAACGGCGCTGCGCGACCGGGCGGCTGCGGTGCTGTCGGACTTGCAACTGGCCCCGCCGCCCAAGCGGCCGAGGCTGTCAGGTGAGCGCACGCGCGCGCATGCGCGGCTGGCTGCGTAACCCTGTCCCCCCACCAGACTGAAACAGCAAGGCCCCACTTGCCGGCACACCTCATGTGCCCCACATGCCGCTGCTGTTGGAGCGAGCTGCGCACAGATGCCGTCCGCGCTCTCCCCCCCCCCACCCCACCGTCCGCAGCCGGCCCCGGCGGCGCGCCGTCATCGCAGCAAGCGGATCGGTTGAGGGCCGCGATAGAGGCGGTGCGCGCGGCTGCGCCGCAGCTGCGGGTGGAGCTCATGAACGGATTCAGCAACGCGCGCGCCCCTCCCAAGCTCGCTGACGAGGCGCGTCCCACGGCCGCGCGCGGTGTGGGAGGGGACACGAGCCACGCAGCGCACGGTCTTTCTAACTTAAGTCGGGGGCAACGCGGCGGCGGCGGCGGCGGCGCAGCATGGCGGGGCGCGCGCCGGCAGCCTTGCGCGAAGCCGCGCGCGCCGGAGCTCCCCCCGTCAAGGGGTTTCGTGAGGCGTTGTGATGTCGGCACCAATGCAGAGGGGTATCCATGCTGCTGGCGGAGAGCACCACGTGCCATGTGCAATGGTCAAAGGCGAAGGGGTGACACGCACCCCCACGCCCCACCCCGCCCCCAGGTGCGATTGCTGTGCCCTGGCGTGTTCTGCGCCGCGGTGGCGCTGGCGGGCGCGGGCCGGACGGAGCCCGTGCGCGTGGCCGTCGACTGCGCGAGCGCCGCGGCGGACATCCATGGATGGTCCAACCCCACGCACCAGGTGGGGGCGCAGCGCAGGCGCTTTTCGCTGGGCGCCGTGCGCAGCCGTGGCGGACACCTGGATGGGGCCGCAATCACAAGCAGACGCCGGCCGCTCTTTGACCTCAGCTACGCAGGCGCCCTGTCAGCTCGGCTGGGCTGACACTCTTACCATTCCAGCATCGGGCGGAGCAGCGCGTCTCCTCAAGGTCCCCCCCCCCTCGCACCCATTCCGCAGTGCTTCCAGCGCATCACCGCGCTGGCGGCGCGCGCGGCTGCGCACTTCTCGCGCGTCGCGGCCGCGCAGCAGCTCTTGGACCCACCAGAACGGCGCAGCGGCGGCGAGGCCGGCGGCGGCGGCGGCGGTGGCGGTGGCGGCGGCGG